GACAAATCAAAGTTCGTGAACATAATATTAGGTACCGGATATCTTAATGTCGTTTTTTCACCAAGAGTTTTGGACCAGCAATATTTCAGTTCAAAACCCGGGGAGCGAATTAGTTTAATCATAAAATGACTTACTAGGATCCCCTCATCTAACAGTTTGAGTGGAAACCTTGCACGATCCAAGCTCGGAATTTTTTGAGTTAAAAAGGAGAGGCAGGTCGGTTTTGACATCCTCTGATAAATCATCCCTCTTACTTGCTAAAAAGTAAGGCCTGGACAAAGTAAGTATACAGCTGGTTAGCGTAGGGTCTGCATTGCACGACAGAAAAATTAGAACTTATCAGCCCAAGTGGGCAGTTTTTTACGGAGACTTTTTTGCAACATAGGGTCAAAAACGCACCCTTTTTGAGCGCGCGTGAGAGGCAGGTGAGCACATTTATCAGAATATCTTGCGGAATCAAATTCATAGGAATGTTTGCGCATCATCAATCCATCACAGTGAAAGTATCCTACCATTTCAGCACAAGTCTGGTGCAGCCCCTTCTCAGCTGGCTTAACTAGGGCCATCTTTTTGAAGACGATTGCCGGCATCCTTTCAAAAACTTCACTGTCTTTTAGGAAACCTGAGGAGAACCGTTGAGCATTCCAAACGGTAGTATTCCTTCCAACAAAAGCAATGTTAGTTTGGTTGGCGGATCTGTAGCTCCCAGCCCGACTTTGATGGCATTTGGTACACACATACGAATTTGCGCAATGAACCCAGGAATTTTCAGAAAAAGGTATAAAAATTGGGGGAGAGGTAAATTGTAAAGTAACAATAGGGACTAATAAGCAACATATTACGTAGTATTAATAAGCAAAAAGAACGTTCTGAGAAATTGATTTTCCATGGTAATCGGCCCCGAAACTTCCTGAACTCAGAAAAACGACATTAAGATATCCGGTACCTAATATATTATGAGTTTTCAGTCATATCAGACTTGAAGCGACTTAACTCGTTTAACCATTGTTGAGAGCCCATAGGGTGGGTGCATCCGACCACATAGGGCATTTCGGGAAAAAATATCAACTATTTTTTTCGTTTTCTTTCCCATTTTATTCGGTAAGGCTTTTTCTGCATCATGCAGAAAGTTTTCCTTTCCAATTCGCTTGGAAAATTTCCTGAAACTCCATTGGAGTCCACGTGACGCGACAAAAAAACGTGAAACATGCGCGGTCCTGTGTGTTAGTATAGGGCCTTCGCGTCATTGTGCGAGTCAAGTCGCTTTCAGATTCTACTATGATTTCAAAGTTAGTTAAATCCACTTCAAAATGGATTGATCTTGCCGAATAGCTTTGTTTGCCTTCACTTGACCCTTTTGAACAGAATTATACTGTCGCATTTATGCAAATGAGTGCTGCTCCGGGCTTTATACGCGGTGGCCAAATGTAGGTCCTTCGCGTACATATTTCTACTGATACCCGTCAGCTAGAAACAGCGAATAGATTGAATTACCATGGGATCAGTGGCTCAGGCATTTACAAGTACCTGACTCGGCTATCTCTACTCAACTGTTACAAACCATTGCTATAAGCTGTACGACACAGAGCGCATTTTAGAGCAGTGTATTCATTTGTCAGATCAAAGGAACAGGGCAAGTGAAAAAAATAAGACATGCGGGTACATGCAGAATGTTTTGTTCCCTTTGACTAAGAATTCCCAATGGCTCGCGACTGCTGTACAGACATAATTGTTCCTAGCATACAGTCTCTATTGCCCAGGTGTTTTCGAGTTTTACTGGTTGGGAGTAATCTTGTCATCTGCGCGGCTGAAGGATGTCTGGCGTACGTTTTGAGGACGTCCGACAATGGTAGTTAGTAAGCGCCGACACGATTATCGCTCGGCGAACCAGTGTTTTGTGACTGTAAAGGATTAAAGGAGAAGAATCTATGGTAGTACCTAATGGGCCTTTCTTCGTTGTATTCTTTTAGAGATGAGAAAAGGAGAGTGCAGTTGTGTCGGCTTTGCGCGGGACGTTTGCTCGGGCTTCTGAATTTGTCTTATACAAAAAAGGGAGACTCGCAGTCCTTCGCCTAGGTCCGATCACCAGAGCTGCGCGATGGTTGAAGCCAGGCTTGGACTGAGTTTTGGTCTTGGTCCAGGGCTTATAAGGAACAAATCTAAGTCGTCTTTCTCTGATGAGACTTCACCTGAGGGGAGAACTGCTGCGCACCCTGCAAGGAGCTCCCGTTAACCCCAGTTTCCATATCGGAGCAAACCATGTCGTCATGTTGGGATTTTTTAGCTGGGCTGTTTCCCCCTAAAGATCCATTTCTTGGTAGCGAATTGCAACGGCCATCAGAGTCGTACACAAAAACGATTCAGGAATGCTAAAATCGGTCGCCTCACTCGATTACATCAAATTCTCCCTGGCAGCCATCGAAAAAGGACTGGAACTGTGTGCTCAAAAAGCTAAACAAGTAAGTGATTTTGTATTACCATATAAATTAAATCATATGTATAACTCAGTATGGTGCTGTCCCGAAGCCTCATAAGGATCTAAATGTTGAACAACAGTTTGAGGCTCCAAAATTTATTTCAAAAAGCTTCAAAACACTCGATCTTGCAAGCTTTCCAAATGGAGAAAAAATAGCTATTTTCTCGCCAGCCCTGATGAAGGCGCTAAGCACCGAAATATTGCAAATCGTTATGGGAAGCTTTCAAGATTTTCTCTTTTGAAGCTTTTGAAAGAAATTTCTGCAGCCTCGAATTGTTCTTCAACATTTACATAAGTATTAAGTTGCATAATTTTGTTTTGGCTTTTCTTAAATAGTTACCAATTGAATTTTTATCCCTTGTAAAAAGTTTTCGCCGTTAGCGTCTTATTTTCGAGATACCTAGAAGGACCCGCCATGGCGAACGATTTGCCAATTTTCGCTGCTGGGTCTCGTTTATCTTCACTTTCGATCTTTGTCCTTGCTGTACCTAAGAGCGCTGCTGCCTAAGATGAGCTCGGACCAGGACTTGTCGCATACCGCCAAAGCACTTATTCATTGATAAATACGCTTGCGACACCATCGGTAAGCGCTGGTATCTGTGGCAAAGCCTTGATGTAAGGAGGTTCGCCTGACATCGATTAATTCGCTTGTTCGACCTTGAAACCGGCATCCAACGATGTGATGGAAGGGATGGTGTGAACACAACGGCTACGAGAGTGCGCCAACACGAAATACAGTCGAGTGGCTCCCTCCTCTAGTGTTCAGGCAACTGCTCGTTTGCGGGGGTCAAGGATACCTCGCTCTGGTGGATGTGCCTTGAAGAAAAAGATCAGGGTTAAATTGATGTGGTAACCCCACTCAAGTATGAAACTAGGGACAGGAGGTGGATTGTATACGAAGAAAAAAAGGATGAACCTTCATGCTCTACGCTGTGGAGAAGTCTAAAAGGCAGGAACAGATTTGAGTCGCGGAGTGGGTAGAAGAAGTCCGAATAGAGGGACCGTAGCACATCAACACTGCGAGGCAGATACCATATCAAACTACGGGTGGACCATGATAGTTTAGTGAGATTTGATCAAAATCCTTAACGCCTAGCGTCTTACGATTAGTGTCGCGTTTCCATCTTCGAAAGTGGCGCGACCACTACAGTTGGGAACCTCACACCTCTATTCAAGGGAGCGATCTTCAGCGAGGTTTGAGCCCAGACCTTGCCTTAAGTTCATGGCATGACCGTGACAAAACCTTCCAAATTAATCGTATAAAATTTCGGTCCTAGACGTCGGCTGGGTAGTGCCAAGTGGCGTCATTTACTATCTGCACTGGCTGGGATGCAATTTCGGATCGAGTCTCGTCCAGGTTATCTAAGCCTTCTATGCTTATGTATCCGATTAAGTGGGGCCAGACTTGCTTGAAAGGATAACAAGAACTGATATGATACATCAGCTGATCCCCGTAAATCTCTGTATGGGTCAAATTGCATCCAGATTGGCTCTGGGATTCTGAATGTCAGTAGGATGCGCAGCGCGTCCCAAAATGGATTTGACAAATGGCAACTACTCGATGCTTTATTTATGTTCAGCCACGCCTTTCCTAATCCGGCTTAAGGAGATCGTTATGAATGCCAAACAAGGAACATTTTCCTCAACTATAGTTTGTTCTGTCTTTCAGGACCATCTTTTTTCGCTTGTTAAATCTAATTTTCGGAGGGCGGACGCGGGGATCGAAGGTAAAAATGCCTGCCCATTAATGGCATTTGCCGTTGGTTAATTTTTATTTCGGTTGGGTGTTTTAGTGGTTTTTTTTATTTGCAAAGATTAAGTGCAGTAATGTAGAAAAGAAAGAAAGAGGTTTAAGTGGAACCAGAAAACGAAACAGTATTTCGTAATCTTGCAGACGTCACCGCTGGAACCTAATTGCCCAACAGGTTCTGCACCAGGTGTGGGAAAAAAGATAGTAAAAAGCCACTCCTCTGCAATCATCATTTTCCAGGAGTTCCGGGAGAATTGAGCGAAACAGATTGCGAAAAAACCACATTTTTTCCAATACGCTTGGGTTTTGCGCCAAAAACTTTCCGTGTCTTTCCTCTTTGATGGGCTAAAGGCAAGGTCCAGGATTTCTGGTCGAAATTGAGGCTTTCCTCGAGAGAAATGCAATTTGCGCAAGCGTGAAACATCTACCCAAGATGATGATTTGACAGGGCCGAAGCGCTATGGCCTTGGGATGCAGCACTGGCCACGCCCAACACCACTGAGCCCGCCCACAAATCAGTGCTTCGCCTCTTCGTCGTTACTAAAGACGGGGGCTTTATTTTTGTATTCGAGGGTTTCTTCCCGTTTTTTCGATATAGTGTTTACGCTTCACATCTCCACTTTCACCTACAACCGTAATAACACATAAGTTTGATCGGGGACTGTGCCTTTAAGTCTCTACAATTCAGAGTGGTCGACCATTCGAACAAATGATGTTAGTGTTTGATTTGGACCACATCGGCTCGGCACATTTCTCATGCAAGCAGTTTGCAAGCTCATTCACCACTCTCGTCACTCTCTTCCAGGAACATTATCCACTGGTTTTGAAAAAAATTCTGATCATCAGGTGAGTACTCGGCTGTTTATTTCAGAGGTTTCAAATTTTAATTGTTGTATTTGAGAGCACCTGAAATGGCTCGAATCGCCTACGCCTCAATCACGGCCATTCTCAGCGACCCCATCACAAGGCTTATTGAGATGCCTTCTGAGGTACGGTTTTTCAATAATTTTAACTAGCAGTTTAGCTGAGTTCATTTCCTAG